CAAGAACAACAACAACAACAACAGCAGCAAAGACAACTCAGCCCGGATTCTTAAGTTTTTGATTCATGATGCCATTGCCGGTTTTTTGAGATACGTACAGGCATGTTCTTTTGGACGCACACACACACACACACACACACATGCACAGATAATTGGGAAAAAGGTTAATGCCTAGTGAAGTGTGTGCTACGCGTCATAAATAGAAGCAACTTGTTGGGCATTTCCGCTCGCATTCGTTGTACGAGTCGAAGATGCTCCCGGGGTCAGATTAACGCGGGCTGCATGTAAGCGCTGCTTTAACTTAATTGCCTCAAAAGTGGCGCTTGACTTATTGTTCGCCTGCACCCCCCTTTTAAAAGCACGCACAATGGCTTTCTATTTGGCCTCACATATGCTTAACAGCTCTTTTTGATGCTGTTGTTTGTTTGTTTGTATATATTCACTTCTTTCAATGTTTAGACTTTGGCTTAGTGTGCAAAAAAAAAAGAAGAAAGAATCCAAAATAAAATAAAGAAATAAAACAGCTAGAGTCAACAAACCGTATAAATGTACAACAATAATAACAGCAACAAAAGCCAAACAAATAGCAAAACGTTGCAGCAAAAATAAAAATATATATAATAAAAAAAGAATTCAAGCGCAAGCGCTTCAAAGGCTATTGAATCAACTCAAACAAGCAACACACACAAACAACCACACACTCACACACACACACACAACCACACACGCACAGTAAAGTACAACACCCCGACACACACAAAGCTGAGCACACAAGTAGTTTTTGAACAGCGTCAAAAATTGAAGTGCCTGTTTCTTGTTGTTGTTGTTGTTGTTCTTGTTGCTTTTTTGCTGCCTTTGCTTCAAAGAAATCATTCACATTTTCCACGTTGTTGTTGTTGCTGTTGTTGCTTTTTTGTGTGGTAACAAGACGCCGCCAACGCCATATTAGCCTGGCTTTCATGCTACAAACAATTTTTTCTTCAGCTTTTTTAAATACTTTTTTTTTATGATTTTTTATAAATCAACTCACAATTTGCTCGCCTTCGCTGGACTGCTCATTCTTTTTCTGCTGACCATTACAATGCTAGTCGTTGTTATTGTTGTCGTTGTAGAGTCTGATGTGGTTGTTGTTGCCTCTGAGCGTAGGTAGTCAATAAGATATTGTGTACGATTTTGCGCATAGCTCGTCATAAATTGATTTATGAGCCTTAGGTGCAAATAATTGATTTATGGGACGCCCTGTGCAAAATAAACGCCAAATAAATATTGTAAATAAAAGTAAAAAGCAATAACACACCAAATTGTGATAAAAATGCAGAGCACAGCGCACCTTAGCGCCTATAGATTTAGAAAACGGTTCTTAAAGCGTTATTTCCTACGGCTCTTATTTAGATTTTCAGGTGTTTTCCGCATTCCGTGTAATTTAATTTTTACGGAATGAAAAGCATGTTTATTATAAAATCTCGCGCTTCAATCCATTTTAACATAAAATGCGCATTAGAAATGTGTTAGTATGTAGAAACAAAACTGTGTTGCTGCTTATTTATTCGAAAAGCATGCAAATATTCTGAGTTCGAAACAGGCCTAAAAAACTGCCAAAACAATTTTAAAATAATTTGTAAAACAACTATACAGACATCATGATTACTGTCTTGAATGTTTTGCCCTACTTAGACCTCGGGTCTGCTAAAATATGACAACTTAGTATGTTTCTTTAAATACTTGCTCAAAAGATCGCACTGTACAGTTTGTTAAATGAACAAGAGAGAACGCTACAGTCGAGCAAGCCCGACAGTGTAATACCCTGTACCCAGGTAAACTTACGTCACTGAGTTATATGCGCCCAAAGCAGCAACAAAAAGAGGAAGAAGAAGAGCGAACTTGTTGCTGCAGTTTGTGGGGGTTGTACTGGCGAGAATTTGTTTCGCTAATAACTTTTCTTAGAATTGACAGAATTGAATAAAATTAAACAACAGTAGATATTTATTTATAAATTATGTGTGCAAAGTTTGGTTTAGGTAGCATTTGAAATGTGGACGCTATTGACGAAATTCTGTAGCGGGGGAAGGGGGGGAAAATTAAAAAAAAAAAAAGGAGAATCTGGATGCCAACTTTGGTTATTCTAGCTTTTATAGTTTCTGAGATCCTCGCGTTCATCCAGACGGACAGACGGACAGACGGACGGACAGACGGACAGACGGACGGACATGTCTAGATCGATTTCTCTCGTCATGCTGATTCAGAATATATATACTTTATGGGGTCGGAGATGCTTCCTTCTGTATGTTACATACTTTGCACAAACCTAATATACCCTTTTTACCCTACGGGTACAGGGTATAAAAATATCAGGTTGCCAAATCTTCAGAATTATATTATACTCTCTACCAGCCTGATACATATTTTTAGTGCAGATTTAAACAAACAACAAACGCATTTTATTATAGCCTTTCTTAATGTAATTAACAATCAATAAACATTTCAGAGTCTAGAGTCAGTTTCGTTTATAAATGCATTTTTTCCTTGAGGTACTAATAGAAATTCTCAGAAATGTCTTGCTCAAAGTTCAGAACGCTCCCAAAGCATTTTAACACACTTAGCACCTTTTGGAAGGTGTTTGAACATTATCAAAAGCTTAGTTGAAAAAAAAAAAAACAACGCGCACTGAGCATACTATTTTTAAAGCTGAGAACTCTCCGAATCTTATGCAAGCTCTCATATTCATACCCATTAAATAAACGAAATGCTCGGCTAATTTATATTTATTTATTGTTCTCTCTTCCATTGCAGGTGCGTAATCGTTCACAAATACACCGGCAAACATAAAAATTATCTATCTATCATTATCGCGCGGTAAGCTAGACAAGATAAGGAAAATACAAAACTAAAACATTGAACAAAATTTGTAGACAGCTTGGCGTTTGTTGCCCTGTTCTAGCAAAATTAGAATCATATATACTATTAAATAATGTGTAAATAAATTAAGTGTGTGTGTGTGTGTGAAAGGTGTTGGAGAAGGAGGGGAATGTGATGGGAAGCGACCTTTGAAAAATGCCATCAATCATTTGGCAACAAATACGAGCGCGAACTCAACGGACCGCAGCCAAAAAGTTCCCCCCTCAAACAGAAACCACGACATTGTGCGGCGATCAGGGAGGGGGGGAAAATTACCAAATATGAATATAAATGCGCGTAAAAAATAAATATGAGCACAAGCGCTTAACTTCTGTTGCTTTGCGTCGCCATTCCGTGTACAAGTATGTCCGCCCCTTTTGTAGAGCAGTTGGAAAATTTTAATAAAAAGCTCCAAAAGGAGCGACTCCGAATGCGCCGTAACCGCTGACGCTGACGTTGCGTGTTTGTCAAAGCAGCAAATGTTTGTTGTTGTTGTTGTTGTTGCCTCTTCTACCATTCACTTTTCATTATTAATTTTGGCGTTGTTGGTATTTTTTTTTGTTTTTGTTTTTTGTAAAATTATGCTAATCCGTTGAAATATGATTATGCCAAATGACAACAGCTTGAAAAATGAAAAGTGTGTGGCATAGCGACTGCTTACACACACATACACACACACGCAGACAGAAAAACATACAAATACACATACATACATACATACATACATATGTTTGTAGCTGGCAGGTGTGTCTGTCTCCCCCTCTCCCAACCGCTACCCGCTTGCGTGACTGCCGTGCGCTCATTATGCATAATTTGATTATATTTAATGAAAAGCATACAACATTTTCACAGCTAATTTCTATGCGACTTTGAGGCCACATTAAGTGTTATCTACTATATACTAATAGTGAAAAATATTTACCCGAAAATATTAAAAATAAAGAAATTGTGTGAAATGTGGATAGCACATTAAGTGACAATAAATAATGTTTAAAATGTACGTCGCGTCAATGAGAGAAAAACTTTTTCAATTAAAACGCAACAGTAAAACAAACATGCCACGACCTTCAAAACAAACAAATTTTCGGGCCAAATGAAATTGCAAAAAGTAATTTAATTAGCTTAACCGAGAAAGCATGCTTTGTCGCTCCAGCTGCATGCCCAGGCCCGCCCCACATTTCGACTGCAATGAAAACAAAATTGTGCAGCACCGGCAAAGACAAGAAATAATTTCTGTAATATGAAATAATTTGCGCGCTACACTGCAAAGGGTTGCCAGGACGCTGAAGAGCTCCAACGGATCCTGCTGCAGGAGCGCCTTTGCGTGTTTGCATTTCCAGCCTCAAGTTTTGCGGTGGCAGGCGGCGACAGTCGCCAAAGTTAGCAACGGCAACGCCGAAGGCAACAAAAGGCCAACTAGGCAAAGGGGACATTCGGAAGGATGGAGCCGGCAATTGCAACTCGGTTAAAAGCTTCGCAAACTGTGCCACAAAATGCAAATTGCCTGCCAAGTGTTGACTTCCGCCGTCATTTTGCAACGCAAATGAATTTGACATCGTGAAACAAAAGTGCCACACCAAATCCAAGTAGGCCCTGATATATTTGTATGTTATAGCCAACAATCCATAGCCAAAACCATAAATTGAAGAAATTTAATGCATTGCACTTACTTCCACTCTACTTTTAGATGAGTATTACATATTTTAGTTAACTATTTTCAACTGGGCTGTGTCTTTTATGTAAAATGTCAAATATCAAAACATATAGAGCTTTTTTTGCTTGAACCACTCCATGCTAACTTCTTTGTACCTCATCGTTTTCATCATTTTTGTATGGATTGTTTTTTAAACTATACTATAATTGAAATTCGTAGAGCAGGTCTTCTAGTTACTTTATCAGCCTTCTACACATACCCAGGATATCCATTAATTCTGTGACTGTGAATGTCCTCTCAATTGCTAAACTTTTCCTCCACAGTATAGGAATTATGGTTTCTGATTTTGCATTTGGTTTAAAAATCGAGACACTTGTTTGTAAACGACTTTTAAATACAAAGTAGGCCTACACGGTTATTGTTAGCACCCAATTGTGTGTGGACTGGTAATTAAATTGTTCGGCATTGGAAAACATAGCTCTAGTCTGAAATTTCTCGTACCCTGAAAAATGTCCCGTCGGTTGTTTGCAATAGCCTCCTCAATTTTCCGCCATCGCGTCTGTGAGCGAAGCGTATGCGAGATACTTAATCCATCGCTGCCATTCCGTGAATTCGCCAAAGAAGCGCCTGCAAGATTTCCAGTCTCTTCAAAACCATGCACTTCTGAAGTAGAACGTTCACGGCGTCGTATGCCCATCAATGGGAACGGATTTGAACCAAATAGGGAAACAGGTCCACGTTCAGGGGGTACCATGCAACCTGAACCGACGGGAATGTCTGCAGCAGAAGCTTGCTCAAAGGAAAGTGTGAGCGTTGAGGTTGTGATGCCTGCGTCAGATTGCTCATCAAGTGAACCCTCTAGTCATCGTCCGCGGCTTCCGCCCGATGAAAAACAACGCCCAGCACGTCGGCAGCCCTGCCGAAAATTGCGGCGTGGGCGTCAACTGGATGACGATGAGTTGAAAAAATCTCTAGATCCCATACAGCCCAAGCCCATTGGGCCACCGCGTTCAGAGGAGAAATCTGCAGAGGCTTTTTCCCGTAACCTCTTTGGACCCCCTCCGCCACCACCTGGCCCGCCCATGACCCCTACAGGTCCTCCCAGACGACCAACTGGTCCGCCCGCGGGCTCCAAGCTACCCGCCGTACAACGACCAGGAGGAGGCGGTGGACCAGGCGGTTCAAAGGGTTCACCCACTCAGACTCTAGTTCCGGCCCGCACCATCACTTTGATGCCAGGCGATGGCATTGGACCAGAAATTTCGCTCGCCGTACTCGAAGTGTTAGATGCTGTGAAGGCGCCGTTAATTTTTGAGCCTGTGGATGTGACACCAGTACTGGATAAGCATGGAAGATCAACAGTACCCAGAGCCGTTATCGAGAGCATGCAGCGCACCAAGGTTGGTCTAAAGGGTCCCCTTATGACGCCCGTCGGCACGGGATTTCGTTCACTCAATCTCACGCTGCGTCAGCTCTTCAGCCTCTATGCCAACGTCCGTCCTTGTCGCACAATTGCCGGTGTAGAAACCGTGTACGGGGATGTGGACATCGTAACTATACGTGAGAATACCGAGGGCGAATATTCCGGCATTGAACACACTCTGGTCGATGGTGTAGTGCAGAGCATTAAGCTAATCACACGCGCCGCATCCTTAAGGGTAGCGGAGTATTGTTTTAACTATGCGATCGCCATGAAACGGAAGAAGATAACAGCCGTGCACAAGGCCTCCTCGATGCGCATGTCCGATGGTCTGTTCATCAACTGTGTGCGCGAGGTTGCCGCCAAATATAAGGACAAGATGGGAGACATGAAGTATGAGGAGGTAGAGTTGAGCACCGTGTGTCTTAAAATTGTGAATGATCCGAAACTTTTCGATGTTCTTGTGATGCCCAATCTGTATGGGGATATATTATCCGACACCTGTGCCGGGCTAGTGGGTGGACTGGGTCTGACACCCTCCGGGAACATTGGAGTCAACGGTGCAATATTTGAGTCCGTGCATGGCACAGCGCCAAATATAGCTGGAAAGGACTTGGCCAATCCTACTGCACTGCTATTGTCAACGTGCATGATGTTGCGATATATAAAGCTCAATAAGTATGCCGATCTAATAGAACGCGCCATTATCAAAACCATAAAGGATGACAAGGTACGCACGCAGGATCTGGGGGGTAAGGCCAAATGCTCGGAGTTCACCAAGGCCCTTATTAAGAATTTGAAGTGATGAGCTCGAAATGGATTTACAAAACAATGTTGTGTGCTTCAAATTCTCAGCGCTATTATAAACTTGAACTTTGAATTATATATTTTTAAAAACGAGAAATTATTTGCCCCAGCTACATACCGGGTTCAATCAAAATGTTAATGGAGTTTTCGGTCGTCTACGAAAAGTATATTTTGAATTTAGTGTGCGAGTATATATTTTAGAAGATTATAAATCTTAGATTTGTAATTATGAGAAGTTCATAAACAAACAAAATGTAGTGATTGGAGATGTGAGATCATGAGATAATAATATGGAATATTTAATCTAAGAGCTGACAGTCGACAACTGGAAGGGACAAAGGGAAAATTAAACTTCCGTTACTCGGTAATCCAACCTCGGACTTTCGAAAGAGCACAGCAACAAATGCGAAAATGTCTGTGAATGTGTAAGCGCAACAAAAATGAAATAGCCACAAAAGTGACTCGAACATCAGAGAAAACCGACCGACAGCCAAAGTCAAAGCTAAAAGATGCAGGATCTCTGTGAGGGAAAGGCATGAGAGCAGCCAGTCGGGCAACGGCAAACGGCAACCATCCAGTCCTCCAGTCCGCCAGTCAGCCAGTCTAACCAGTGCCAGCACCAAAGTCAAAGTCAGCCCCAGAGTCAGAGTCAGTCAGTCTCTGTGGTGCGGCGCGTTGCATGACGCTGGGCTGCGCATTGGATTCGAGCCCGAAAGCGAGAGCAAGTCATCAACCGCACACACACACATACACAAACACACATATATATATATATACACTAGCACTTGCCACATTGCTTACGTAGCATTTTTACATGCATGTCGGACTGTTAGGGCGCTGATGACACCCTGCTCCACTCCACTCCTCTCCACTCCACACAGAAACTCACAAACGCGCACACAACTTAAAAGCACCGACCAATCTCTAAACAAACCAAACTACTAGCCAACAACAACAACAACAGCAACAGCAACAGCAAAAGCAAGAGCAAGAGCGTGGGCAAAGGCGCTCCTTTAACTACAGGCTGTAGAATGCATAGGGAGCTGCTGGTCAGTGAAGCGTGCACTAAAAAAAAGAGCAGGAAGAAAACGCAACCAGCCAGCCAATACAACAAACATATGCATACATACATACTTGTAAATATAAAAAATAAAAATTAAAAAGAAGAAAATTTAATTTTGAGTGTGTGTGTGTGCGTGGAAAGAGCGGGCGTTCTCTCTGTGCGTGTGTGTGAGCATTTCAAAGAATTTTTATAAGCAACAACAATAACAATGGACGACGGAGTCCAAAAAAAAAAAAAATAATAATAATAAAAGAGAAAAAAGGGCAACAAGAACCGGGCAGGCGGCCAACGAACGAACTAAAACAGAGTCCCAAGATAAACTCTCAGTATGTGTATTTGAAACAAAAGTCAAGAATTTTTGTACACCGTAACCGGTTTTCATTTTCGTTGCACTTCCCAAGCCACCATTTCCACAGTCAGTCGAGCCCAGAAGAGCCCAGCAGAGCTCGTTGAAGCTGACACCGTCGACACCGCAACAGACGCGTCACCTCATCCAGACATCGTCTGCTTTGGAGTTGAGCTTGGCCAGAGAATGCATTGCCAGCCAGGTTCTGCTCGGCGTTGGCGCTTCATTCATAAAGAAGAGCGACAACAAGAGCTGCAACAACTTCAGGTGAAGAACTCAGGTTCAGACTCGGGCCTCCATGAAGCATTTTGGCACTCATTTCAATTTACCAGCCCAGCACGCAAACCCACTGATGACATCAACTAGTTTTCTGCGGAAATGTTGCACACAATTGTGTTCTGGGCTGGCTGCCTAGTGTTTGTGGCCCACAGACAAAGCCTTCATTCGGCGTGCCATAAGCTAATTAGAATGCTAATTTGTTAGAATGCAAACGAAGCGCGATGCTGCTGCCATTAATGCTCGCAGCATTTGTTCATGTGAACAACTTGATGGATTCCAATGAAAAAATTAAATATTCATTCATAAATGGCGGGATTATGGTGCGAAGGTCAAGTTCTGAAATTGCTAAGCTAATAAACTATTCATCACATTTATTGATTTTAATTAATAGTTAATATAGGCTGGCAAGTATCTTAAATACAATTTTCTACACACATATATTCAGACAAACTTTCCAAACACAAGCATCAACTTTATTTTGAACTATACTAGTATTTATATCTTATATTGTCATTGACAGTGCTGCTTAAATAAAATCGTCGAGTATTTTTGCAAGAAACATCATCAAAGCTTACTTTCTGATTCTTTAAAGATTTCAATATTTTCAAGCGCAAACTACTTGTATTATTACGATGACAAACAGCTAAAGTATTATATTAACATATACATTCATTTTGTCGGTATCGAACAAAATAAGAAATGCATTACACAATTCGTCATAGCCTTTAGGAGTCGAATTTCGTTTCATTACATTTCTACTTTGATAGCAAAATGTCGTTTGATCCAGTTTCACTTCAAAAATTTGAACAGTTATTGTAACTCTAACTATCAGATACCATAACTAATTGTACAAGTATAGGGTTTGCATGAAAAGCAACTTGAACAGCCCCCCAGACACGCACATACTCGTGTATACAAAAAAGTTCACGCCCCCCTCGTCTCTGGTATTGTCAACTGACACGGGTTACACTTAACAAAGATTTACGACCGCTGTCAATACTACTTTGCATTCGGCCTCCGACCCATTTGCCCAACCGACGAACCGTCCAGCCAACCAGCCACCCAGCCAACCAGCCAACCAACCGAACAAACAAACTACACTCGAAAATTGTGGCAACAAAAAGCATTTTCAAATTTAAATCTATTTGTCACTTGCAAAACTTTTGCTACCTTTCACAGCAAAGACCCCACCAGACTCCATCCCCTCCCTCCCCCAAACAAATGAAAGCATTGGCCATGCGACAAACTTTTTTTTTTCAGCTAAACAAACATAAACCCAAAAACATTTTAGAGCTAGCACGCCATAAAGATTTGTATGCCTACCGAGCGTACTGGCAAGAAAAATATCAAAAAAAAAAGAGGAAATTTTTTACAAAAGCGAAAACGTAACGAGAAGTGACAGTTACAAATTCGTGAAAATAAAAACCTAGAGCAAAATAAGGAAGAAAAAGCCATTCATTGAAACGAATTCGCAGCAAAAAAAAAAAAAAGAGATCCGAAGAAATCGGTCCAGGGGCCACTTAGTGGGCATAGTTAGATGGATCAACCCTCATTCGGTGTAGGCTGTGGACACTTACTTTCATTTGTATTCGAGTTGTTGTTATTGTCCTTGTTGTTGTTGTTGGTGCTGTTGTTATTGTTTTTCTGGCACTTTCCGAGCTGCCTTACCTATTGCCCTTGTCCCAGACCCAGCCCCAGCCCCAGCCCGTAGCCCCTGATGCTCGTTAGTGCAAATCCGCATTCATAAACTAAAACGCAAATGGCAGCAGACACAGCAATAACAACAACAACAAATAAACCGCCAGTACGCACTTCTAATGCCATTACAATATCGCAATCGCCATAATGTCAGGCCGTCCTTGTCAGACTGCCAGTCTGCCAGCCTGCCAGCCTGCCAGTCAGCCAGCTCAGGCATTCGAGCACAGTAATGGCGATGCGAAGGAGCAACAGCGAGACCTGATGAAAGCTTTAAGTTTGAAGCACCGCAGATTTTATACTCTTTATTAATTAAATTCGAGAGATTGTATTTGAACTTATAACACATCAATTGGAAACAATACTTGCTATTGTTTCCAATTAATATCCTCTGAGTCATTGGCTGCTGATCATCCGAAGCAATTGAATTGATTGGCAATCGAGTCTTACAACTCGGCATACCATTATCCATCACCATAAGTGATTACTGATTTTACCAGTTGAATGCAATAATTTGTGATTGCCATTGGTTAACCTCCCAGTCGAAAAAAAATCAATAGCTTTTTATTTGATATTTCATTTTATTGGCATGCAATTGTAGCTGCAACCCCAATATTAGCTTTTACAACTAAATAAGTTTAAAGTTATAAATGTTCTATATATACGTGTATATTTATCACCCGGGAGGTGCCTGGCCAGTCTTCTACTGTGCTTTTTAAGGTCCAGGAGCTCAATCGGCTTGAATCATCACTAATCATTTATCCCCAATCAGGATCCTGGAACATATCCAGTGTCAGGGAATGTAAGTATAGTAAGTGTGGTGTTATTATACCAATCTTACAAAGATCGTGCTCTATTTATAATACCCTTTGCTAGAGTATAGAAATAAATAAATGAACAAAAATTATTTGCATTTATTTGCTGTTTGCGATTGTTATTGTCGCACTGCCTTGTTCCCTGATCCCAGGTCCCCATTTGCACTCCCCGTCTCCCGCCAATGCTTTTTACTTTTGCTCTCGTCCGACATCATCATCGTCATCGTCGTAGCACTGTTCGTCGAGGCCAATTTTTGTGGAGGACTGGGGTGGAACAGTCCGCCAGCACTTCCGTCCCGTTGATTTTTCCTTCGTCGTTGTTTCTCTGGCCCTATTTGATGATAAAAAGTAATCCCATTTATTGTTTAATGCTTAATAAATAAAGCAATTTTTATTTATTTGCAACATTTTGTTCTGCTGATTGTCGTCCATGATGTTGATATTGTAGCATGTATTTGTTGTACTTGTTGTTGTAAGTTGCGTGTTTTGTTTCTTGGTTTATATTTCATTTCTATTTCAATTCATTTGATTTCGTTATGTGCAATGGTTTTTGTATTATTGATTTCTGTATGTGAGTAAACTGTTTCGTTGTTGTGAGTAAAGTTTCATATATTTTGTAGTACGTTGATAATAGATTTAGTCGTATTTTATTGCTTGAACTTGGGCTTTACATTGCTTTGGTTTTGTATGTTTGCGTGCTGCGTGGGAGTTGGGATAAGGCGGTTGATGAAACGTCGTAATTGTTCTTAAAAAGCATCACATCGACCATGGGGCGTATGCGCGATATGGGCAAAGTTTATTTCAGTTATTAGACATTCCATTTGCCATTTTGCAGTCCCACGAACCGATAAGCATTAAATTTCAACCAAAACTCATCAAACACAATCAGTGTGTGGGAG